AAATACAGCTAAAGGAGAGGAGAGAGAGAAAGGCTTCCCTCTCCCTCTGGCACAGAACTCCATTGGGTCAGCTGAACACCTTGAAAGGTGGCCCTGAGAAGCGTGAGTAGGGAGAGGTGGTGAGATCCTAACTGCGGGCATCTGCTGTCATTTCAGTTGGCATCCTCACCAGGCAGCAGGATGATGCCCCCAAATGTTTCCCAGTGTGTCAGCACTGCTCCATTACCATGGATGACATCTGGCCCCTCAGATGTCACCAGGTGTTTGTGTGGGAACTCCTGGTCTCCATCTCCATCAGCGACCATGGGACCATAGAAAAGGAGTGCAGGTGCCTATTTTTAACAGACGCCATTACTGAAGCATCAAGAGGAACCTCACCACCTCCTGTGGGTTGGTGGCAGGCACGGGAGGGAGCTGAGGTCCAGCCCCACGACTACAGATGCAGGATGAGATGCCTCCACTGACACAGCTGATTCCCTTCCCTCAGCAGCATGGGTGAAGGATGTCCCTCCCCATCAGTATTCAGGTCTCCTGCCTAAGGATGGGAGAAGGAAGGTGGATTCTTAGACCTAACTGTGTCTCTGAGAGGAGGAAGGACACTGCTGGAAGGAAACATCTCTGCAGAGTTAAGGCAGGAAACGTGGGTGATTGCTTCAGTCTCTTTCCAAGGAGGTTCCTGGAGAGCCCCAGGGACACCTGGAGGCCGTGCAGAGTGGGGTGGGGGCAGAGACAGTGACGCCTTGGGCAGGTCCTCTGCTGCTGGGCTGAGACAGGCTCCTGGGGTAGAAGGAGCTCATGGCAAGCAGGCAGCACTGCCGAGAGACAGCTCTACCAAGGAAGAGCTCCTCGGCAAAGCCCAGCAGGGCTCTGGGAAAAGGAGTAGGGCAGGGAGAGATTCAAGGCAGCCGGGAGTGGGAGGAGAGGGCAGAGCTGAAAGGGAAGAAACCTGGACAGCCCCTGACACGGTAAGTCTCTTGGTGCAGGGCAATGCAGCTGTGGTACCAAGAAGGCTCCCCTGAAGCTCCCATAGCCTCCAGCCTCCAGGATCTGTCAGGAGGGCTCCCAGCCCAGGGGCTCATGTTAGACAAGAGTGAAGGGCTGAAGCCTGGGTGCACGCCCAGAGGTGCCCAGGGAATTTTAGAGGGGACTTTGCCAGAAGCAGGGGCTACCCTAAAGGTGAAGAGCTTTCCTGGGTCTGTGCTTTCAATTTCCTGCTCTTCCAGGGAAAAGTCACTTCTACTTGTGGAGTGGGAGACTGGGAGTCCAGATCTGCTCCACTGAGATGTCAGTAGGTGTGGTAGGGGCCAAGTGATCTGCTTCCACTCACTCCTGTACTTACAGAGAGCACCAGCATCACCTCTGTTGTCCTCATCAGGCTTTATCGTACCTGCTCCTTACTGTGGGGAGTACCTCTGGAGAGTGCCTGAAACTGGGAGGTTTCTTCAGGGCAGAGCTGAGCAGACAGCAGCTGCTGATGGTGTTTGTGATTGCTGAGAGGGAAACATTTGAGGGCAGAGAAACTGTTCTCAGCGGGGATAGCTCCAGGCAGCAGACACATGGGCAGATAACTATAGGAAACTCCAATCAGCAATGTTATGGAAGGGAGAATTTGGAAAGCTCCCTGTCAACCGTCCAGTGCAGATCACTTCCTCGGAGCAGACCCCTGCTCTCGTCTCCCTCCCAGCACAGCCTCTGCCCTCCACGCTGTGTGCTCCAGGGCAGGAGTTGCCTCAGCTGCAGCCAGAGCTCCAGAAGAGCAGAGGTGCATCTCTCCTTCCATGTGGCTCCTTCCCTCTGCATTTTGCTGCCTGGGAAGTGCTGGGCTGTGCTGGGCAAGGAGAATGCTTTCCTGCATGCCCATCCGCCTCTCCTCTCCTTGCTTCCCTTCACAGGAGAGTCACAGAGTTGTTCTTTGTTTCTGCCCATGGCTGTGCTGCTCTTCTTCCTGCTCTTGGGGTCCCCGGCAGTAAGAGTGGTGGTGTGGGGTAAGGGCTGGGGGTGCTGAGTGCCTGCTCAGACACAGAACTGGATGGTGCTGCGCTGGAGCTGTTTCCATGACACCAGGGTGCCCAATCCCTTTCTTAATTTTTCTGGGTCAAGACACTGCAGTCGGTGTTTGGGCAAGGAGACACTGATTCCCTCAGCAATCACCTTAACACCGCTGGTTTTGCTGGAGAGGGAGTCCTGCAGGGCTGTGAGCATCCCTCCAGAAGGGCAGAGCTCTCCTCCAGGACCTTTGTGGTGGCTGACAGCATCTGATTTGCCCATGCAAATCACCATCCCGGTCCTGTCCTATTCATCATTACACTGCATAGCTGTGCTTTATTACCATTCCCAAGAACATTTCCCAAGAGGGATGAGGGTGTCTGAATCCTGAAACACAGTGTAAGGAGACATATTTGCTGCACCTCATCTCCCACCTTTTTCTGTGGAAGAAAGCATCCTTCTGAGCTTTTTACCCTGTGCTATAGTGCAGCTCAGGGAACTCCTCCCCTGGAACCCCCTCTCCAAACACACAGGGCCACTGCTGCCTCCATGTGTCATTGCTGTAAAGCAGGGCTGACCCTTAATGAGCCCATGGGTGGAGGGCACTGCTCTGCACAGCGCACACAGCCAGCACCAACCAGAGCTGATGCCTTGAAGCTGCGTAAGTGTGCCCCAGGAAAGCACCCTTAGGTGTTTCAGAATGAGTGAATCAAATATTTCCCAATAAAGCTTCTCTGAATTTTTCTGGTTTATCTCCTTCAGCAGTTTCCATGCCCAGAAGCAGGAGATGTCCTACAACAGCTCCATCACTGGGTTTCTCCTCCTGGCATTTGCAGACAGGCGGGAGCTGCAGCTCTTGCACTTCTGGCTCTTTCTGGGCATCTACCTGGCTGCCCTCCTGGGCAATGGCTTCATCATCACCACCATAGCCTGCAACCATCGCCTCCACACCCCCATGTACTTCTTCCTCCTCAACCTCTCTCTCCTCAATCTGGGATCCATCTCTACCATTGTCCCCAAATCCATGGCCAATTCCTTCTGGAATACCAGGGATGTCTCATTCTTGGGGTGTGCTGAACAAGTCTTTCTGACTGTCTTTTTCATTTCAGCAGAAAATTTTCTTCTCACCATCATGGCCTATGACCGTTACGTGGCCATCTCCAAACCCCTGCACTACAGGACACTCCTGCGTAGCAGAGCTTGTGTCCACATGGCAGCAGCTGCCTGGGGCAGTGGTTTTCTCACTGCCGTGCTGCACACAGCCAATACATTTTCAATTCCACTCTGCCAAGGCAATGCTGTGGACCAGTTCTTCTGTGAAATCCCCCAGATCATCAAGCTCTCGTGCTCAGATGCCTACCTCAGGGAAGTTGGACTTCTTGTGGTCAGTGTCTGTTTAACACTTGGTTGTTTTGTTTTCATCGTGCTGTCCTATGTGCAGATCTTCAGGGCCGTGCTGAGGATCCCCTCTCAGCAGGGACGGCACAAAGCCTTTTCCACGTGCCTCCCAGGGACGGTACAAAGTCTTTTCCACGTGCCTGCCTCACCTGGCCGTGGTCTCCCTGTTTCTCAGCACTGCAATGTTTGCCTACCTGAAGCCCCCCTCTATCTCCTCCCCATCTCTGGATCTGGTGGTGGCAGTCCTGTACTCAGTGGTGCCTCCAGCAGTGAACCCCCTCATCTACAGCATGAGGAACAAGGAGATCAAGGAGGTCCTGAAGAAAGTATTTTAACATGGAGTACTGCAGCATTAATAAGGTGTCCAGCATCCTCAGGAAAAGATGTGTTGCTCTTTTGATCACATGAGTCTTTTGTCTCTTTGTTTATTATACGTCTTATATTAGGTTTAATGAATTAATATTATTCTTACCCACCTACAAGTGCATTTTTAGACCTGAAAGACCTCATGTACATATGACAATAAAGAATCCAGCAGAAAATTATTTGTCTTGGCTTTCATCTCTTACATCACCTCTGAAGCTGGGGGTGCAGCGCCACCATACAGGAACGGCCAAGGAGCCACAAGCCCAGCTACCACATGGAGGAGCAGGGACTTGTGGACCTCGGGGCTGCCCCTCACTGCCTCAGTGCACAGACCCTTTCTGCCACCTTCATATTGGGTCTGCTGTTTCCCTGGATCCATGGCCGTGGACAACATCCGGACCTGGTCTTCTTAGATCAGCACTGCCAGCTCAGGGCCCTGTGGAGCGCACAGGGTGGCAACAAAGACTGGCTGGCCAGGCCAGCCTGGACATGCTCACATGGGGAAAGGGATGTCCAGGGAGAAGAGCAAGGGAGCATTTCTGTGCCTGCAGGGAGGCACCCACAAGAAAGAGAAAGCTTATTCTGTAGGCACTCACTCGGGGCAGGCTGCTCTGTCCCCTGAGCAGGACTCTTGTGCTGGCCTGTGCTGTGTCTGATGAGGGGGGATGTGGAGGCATGCATTGAGCAGTGGGGCTGCCCTGGCTCAGGGACAAGTCACAGATGGGAGATACAACACAACAATCAGGAGGTGGAAGCAAGGAGACGCTACGAAGGGGGAATTTAGAAATTGACCTGAGCATGCAGGTACGTGTTTAGGAAAGGCAAAGCTCAGCTGGAGCTGATGGTTGCTGCAGGCAACATCAAGAGCAAAATGAAAGCTTCCATCACCGTGTTTGCAGTGAAGGGCTGACCAAGGAACTTGCTGGTAAATGATGAGAGGGGTTCATAACAGCAGGCACAGAGGAGGCTGAGGCGCTCAATGCCTTCCCTGCCTGAGTCTTTGCTAAAAAGGTCTTCCCAGCCTCTGCTCAGTGGAAGGGCTCAAGGAGGAGGAGAGCACGTATTGGCAGGAACCTCATTAAATCTCACGAGGGCAAGTGCCAGTGGCTGCCCCTGCTGGGGACTCACCCTGGCAATGGCACAGGCTGGG